CACCTAAAGCACCTACAGATTTCGAAGAACCTAAATCACCTAAAGGACCTAAAGCACCCACAAATTCTGGAGCACCTGAAGAACCTGAAGAACCTATAGATTCCGAAGAACCTATATCACCTAAAGGACCTGAAGTACCTACAGATTCTGAAGGACCTGAAACACCTAAAGCACCTAAAGAACCTGAAGCACCTGAAGCACCTAAAGCACCTGAAGCACCTGAAGCACCTAAAGAGCCTGAAACACCTAAATCACCTAAAGAGCCTGAAGCACCTGAAGCACCTAAAGCACCTGAAGGACCCAAGGCGCCTGAACCACCTAAAGAACCTGAAACACTCCAAAAACCTAAAGAAAAGCTGTGTGGAGAGGTGTACATACCAGTAAACAAACCGTGTGGATTAAACATACCAGAAGGAAAACCAGAAGGAAAACCGCACGACAAACCAGAAATAGCGAGAACTCCGGACATCCACCAAAATCCCTATGGGAGTTCTATCGGAGGCCCTCACGAAATTTATTATGGAAGTTATCAACCCACCACGCCCGTTGCTGTAGTCGATGTATTTAAACCCGGAAAAATCCAATTTCATTTTTCATTTAGCGATTATGGAGAGAAAACAATCATTTTAGGATTATTTAACCTTTTTCATTGCAAACCTAAAGATTTGAGTGTTTCAGCCGGCGAAGTCAACCTTAATAACCTACATAATTTTACGGAAGCACTGAAAAATTCGCAAATTGTTGATTATGGATATGGTAGTCCGGCTATTCGCCTTACTATTCATTATCCGCTTGATGCACTTGTGGGGAAAAAGTTTGTCGTTTGTTGCAAGCGACATGTAATTGCATCTACTACAATCGAAGCTAGCACTGAAGTTAATCCATGACACTTATATTTAAATGACATATAAACATTTGGTATAATGTTATCAGGGTAGAATTTTATTTTTTTATCCATTTATAAAAAAAAAAAAAATAGATCATTTTATAAATAAAGAGCCTTTTCTCTTTTATAAAACAAACATCTTTGTATAATTGATATCTATTTTTCATCATTGTTTCATCGTTGATTTATAAGATTTGATTATATCTTTTTTGATATCGCACGTCAAAAATTTGAGATGTATAAAACGTATCAAATTAAACAGATATTATTTTTTCTAAAAAAAAAAAAGTCCACTGTGTAAGTTCTTGATAGCAGAAGGGCAATACCAGTATATATTCTTCATAGCAGTATAAAAAATGAATGACAAATCAAGCATTTTTAATTCATTAGCTACGAAAAAAATTCCGGGTAAATTATAATCATTTTTGAGTAAAATTGACTATTTGTCAATTAAAATTCGAAAACTGGCTTTATAATCCAAAAATCATATGATATATTTGAAGTGTAAATGCTTAAATCCAACCCACATTTAAAATGTTCGAATTGTCTAAATAGCATTTTAAGTCTGAGCGATCACTTTCGTCATATCAGCTTTTAGATTAATTAATCTTACTTGCTTTTAGTCTGAGAACATTATGATGAGTCCGTATTAATAATTGTTTTATCAATACAAAATATTACTGACATCTTGGTAAATTCCAAATTATATAACAAATAAACTATTTCGATCGATCAAATTCTAAATTATCTAACAAATAAACTATTCGATCAATTAGTGTAATTGATTTAGTGTCAAAATTCACAAAAAAGTTTATTTGTAATAAATAATACATACATTGTCCTATGTTTCGTCTTTGGCTATATATACATATATATACATATATACATATCCGGTATATGTGCATGAAGACTCGGACATTTGCTTGACAAGTACATACAAATTGCTTTAATTATCGTAGCATACTTTTCTTCTCGTTATAATAGTACGGTAAAACGTTGTGCTTAATTTTATGATCTCGTCTAGCAAAACCTTTCTAACCAATTTTCTAATCCTATTGTAAAATCACACGATCTCTTTATTATTTTCATTCTTAACAGATATTCATTGAGTATCGTAAATTAATCATGAAAATATAATAACATTAACGTTAAGTTAAAAAACCTTGTGGTATAAAAAAAGGTTTAAATCAAATTACGTAATTGTTTATAATTGATAAAGGTTTGGCAAAATCATTTAATATAAGAAAATGGGTAATGTTTAATCTTTAATCATGCATATATTTCGGTAATATTTATGTATGGTTAACGCATACTCACCACATCCGAACCACACAATTAGCAGCTTTGCCTTCAAACCTTACCTATGTGGCGGACCATCAGTTTCAGGTTATTGTATTGATTGAGCAAGGATAGATCAAAAAATATAAAAACGGACATCAACCTCGTTACAGTTCAATCGTTAGTTAACACAACTTTTTGATAAAGCAAGTGAGAAAGAAAATCAACCTGTCCTGGAGACAACTAGATTATTTCTTGGAAAAAATATACTTGCTGAAATGTCGACTAATGATAATAACAGTTATGACTCAACTACCATCAACAAATACGATATACCGATACACATTGATAATAACAATAATAACTATAATGGGATCGGAAAATTTCCGGCATTACAATTAATTAATTCTGCTACATTTTCAAACCAAAATAATCAGATTTCTAAATCTTTACCATCAATGCCATATGTTGACAATGGTCAAATTACTTTCATATCAACGACTTCTGGTAGTCGATCCTCTTCAGCATCTGATAGTAATGACACTGATGCTTCAGTCTCATATTCATCAAAATCCTCTGTCCCACTCACATATCAAGAGTATGAAGTAGAGCCATTGAACTCATTTGGTGAAATTAATGTTCTCAAAGGGAAAAACAAAGAAATCATATTGGATATAAATGACACATTACATCGGCCTTTTTCTTCAAATGCACCATCATATGACGTATATGAAGTACTTGCAGAAATCAAGGCAAACACATTACTTTCTTATCCTCAATATCAAAACCGAAATTTCAAGTCGACTCACTCTCAGCAACAGAAAACGAATCAATTTTTCTATAATAAATCTGAAGACACTGAAACTCATGTTAATGATTCGTATGTATCAATTAAAAAAAATACTTTGGAATATTCAACAAACAAAGCTTCGACCATCGTAATTGCCAAATATATGTTTTGGATAGGATGGTTTATAATGCCGACATGGTGGGTTGGGTCATGTTACTTACCTCGACCTACTGCAGACGCTACACCAGATGATTACAAATGGAGAAACCGATGCCGTAAAGCAAGTACTTTTGGATTTATTGGTTTGATTTTGGGTGGATTATTCTTTGTGATTGTAAAATCGAGAGATTATAATACTTAACTAATGAATCATCACATTATGAACAAATTGTCTATTTGTAATTTTAGATTATTTCTAAAATATTTGTTTTATAAATGTAGATATGTAATTAAAAAAAAAAAAAAAAAAAAAGGGTTGAATAAAAAAATAAGAATTCAAATAGTGAATATATTCACTTCATCTGGATGACTTTTAAGACATTTCACAATTAAACTTTCAATTTATTAATACTTTAGCTATCAGCTTTTAGAATTAATTGATCCACGTCAGTTCATGATTTTGAAAATTCTTTGAGGTAGGGATGGAATCCCACTTATGCGTTCAGACAAACCAGGTAATTAAATAATTGCTACTAGTGATTCAATTCTGTTATAATTAAAATTAAAACTTTCAAGAGAAACACTTAAATTAGAACTTTGTTCTAGTATTACTATACCACTGTTCGCGTTCGATTGTCAAGTAATCAACTAATCAATTAGTTAGCTCTTAAGATCCATTTAACGTTACGTTAAGTGAATTACATATATTTTTGACCAGTATAGCGATAGGTGGTAATGATCATATGCATGTATATAAAAACAAAATATATAGTAAAATAGATTGATATAAAAATTATAACAATAATATTAATCATAATAAAATATTAAAAAATTTCTAATAAATAACAATCTTTACTAAGTTGAAAATTTTATCTAACCAAAAAAAAAACCCCCACCTTAAAATTTTTTTTTTATATATCTAATGCTACACATCAGGAAACTTTATAAACTTATTACAAGATCATTTTTTGAAAGTTCTTGGCACTACTTGTGCTATGCTTAAGCTACCTAGTGTGACGAAAACACTGGACTACATTTAAATTTTCAAACTCCATTTTAATTCATATAAACGTACAATATAAATAATTAATAATAATGATACCAACTCGTGTGTTAGACCCAACGTAAATTCAAAATTTACAAATTGTACTATCACTAAAATTACACAATATGACCCTGCAAATATTTATGAAATGTTAGGACATGAGAGAAATGACATTAAAATGCATTCATATGTCAAATTTATTATTTTGGTTCTAATACTGCTCAATAAATGCACCGCCAACTATATTCCCGTTGGAAGAACAGATTTTGCGGCAATACTATTATCAAATAAAATATATTTTTATGGTGGATGGAATTTATCTGTGTTAAATGATTTGTTTTATATCGATTTGAATCAATCATTTGATTCTTCCAATCCGTCATTTCAACTCAATTTCACGTCGATGCAGAAAGGAGGTCATAGCGCTGTTACTTATGAAGACGAAATAATTATTTTTGGTGGATATAATACGGTAAGAAACCTATGTAAGTTTGTTGGCTTGAGAAAATTTTGCGGACCAAAGTAACTTTTACAATAAATTTAGGTTGGAAACATTAATGATCTCGTCATAATCAAAGAAGTACCTTCTAATTATATCCTAACGATTACAAGCACGAATAGTTCAAATCTTAGTTCATGGCCGTCTCCAAGAAAATGGCAGACGGCAGTAATCAATTCTATGAAAGAAAAAATGTATGTTTGGGGAGGTTCATCAGCTTCTGGGTATGTATTTGCTTAAAATGAAAATTGTATACTGCTGTATATCTAATGATGCAAAAACTTATGACCATACAATATGAAAGTCCCAACATCGATTTAAATGATGGTGCAATGTACATATTTGATGCCCTAAGTTATTCATGGAATGTCAATAAAGTGCTAACTCAACCAATAGGTCGTCAACGCAATACAGCGACACTAATTCCTGATGGAAATATAATTATGATTGGAGGATACTTTAATCTTGATATAGCACAGGTAAATTACGAGTTCCAATTGATAATAAATAATATAAGCCTTAAATGTTAACAGAAAGCTTCTTAAGCTCGACATTTACAATACAATAACCGATCAATGGTCACAGAAGGTATATTTTCATAAATGAAATTTTTACTTCATGACAGATAATTCTTTACAGAATGTTACTTCATGGTAGATTAATTATTTAATTATTCTTTACAGATAGCCACAATAAATGGTATAGTTTCTGCTAGATGGGGTCATACAGCCACCCTTGCAACTAATAATCAAAGTATAATAATGTTTGGAGGCATATCCAATTCTTCTGAAACGATAGATGGTATCGCGGTTCTGGATCTCACTACTTATGTTTGGATGTCAATTACACCTTCTGGTAATCCGCCAATTAAAACGCCGAACTCACATACAGCTACACTCCATGATAGTTATCCGAATTTTTATTTTACTTCATAAATTATATCAAAATGTAACCTGCTTTTAATTCTTGTTTAGGCATAATCGGTACTACAAGTTTTATCAATACTGTAAGCATCCTAGACATCTCGAACAACCAATATAAATGGGTCAATTCGTATAACCCGCGCATTCCAAACCCAAATTTAAATCCATCAAATCCATCAAATACACCTAACAGTCGGAATATCTGGATTATTGTAGGGCCAGTTATTGGAAGCGTTGTGGGTATTGGATTGTTAGGTATCATTGGTTATTTGATTTATTACACTAGTAAATTGAAGAAAGAAATAAGGTTTGGGAATTCCCATCTTTCTGCAAACGAGGTAGTTGATAATAGAATAAATGTCAATAGAGTAGCTGATAATGAGAGAGCTAATAATGAGGTTGTTTTTGGTAAGATCTGAAAAAAATCTTCGAGTTATTTTTCTGTTTTTTTTAGGGTTGAGTTAGAATTTGGACTGGAATTTATAAATAAAGTGTATATAGAATTTCAGAATTTAGCAAGGCTTGTATTTTCAAATCGTCCAAATTTCAGTATCAGCTGTGACAATAATTTTTTTGGTTTATTTTCTTGGTATTATAGTTAAATCCTTCTTTAATCATATCTTTAGTTTTAAAATTTTTGTATTGGTAAAGAGTTATGCTTGTATAGAGAGTAAAGTTTATATGCTTTATATAAGTTGGTTGGGTTCTACCGACATCCAAAATCTCGAATCCATAATCCCGATATCACGCGATGCGACAATTAGATGTCGGTAGAACCAGTTGGTTGTGATTATAAATAAATATAATACAACCTGAGTTGCAAAATAGTGAAATCCGCTATGATCAACACTTCATCACTTCAGGAGCGACCGTTTCGATCAGCCAATCAAAATTATGAATTTCAATGATTAATTTAATAACGATAACAAATTTTTACTTTTATTAAATTAATAATTAATAATAAAATATTTAATAAGTAATTTATATATGTATTAAAATATAATTTAAATATGTATTACAATGCAATAAATAAATTTTGTGTGTATTTTAATTGATTTTCTGTTGCAATAATATCATTTATCACTGCCATATTGTTCAAGTTGTTGTTTTTTACATTTTCAATTTTTTCTTCAACAATTTCATTTTCTATTTCTTCTTTAGTCAAACTAGTTTTAAGTGTCTCAATATTTTTTTTAACCTTATCTATAAGATAATTAAGACATACAATACATTTCGATTGAATTTTTTGTAAACGGAGAATGTAGTAGCCTAGTGAAGTGGTTAGGTTGTCAACCCTCCAAGTGTTAGGTTGACATTTTTGCTTGTATAACCAAATTTTAAATAAACAATATTAATTATTCTTATTCATGTTTTGTATATAATATTAAAGACTAAATTAATTTTTTAAGACCATGGTTTCTTACTAAAATCTTTATGTACTTCAAAAATACTTTTATAAATTTCATTAAATAAAAATAAGTTTTTTTGAAAAACAAGCTTATAACTATTTAAAAACACATAAAGGAACCTCTAATAGAAAGAAATGCAGTAACAAATAAAGAAATAGTCATATTGCTAGTAAGAATCTTTTGCACAATGGCTTTTTAAATATAAAATTGTTTGAGTCAGTCTGTGATAATAGGAATAGTGTAATTGACAATATATATAGACATAAGTTCATAGCTAGAGATGGGCATTCTGTATTATGCACATTATATTATACAAAACATAATATTGCATAATGTAATGTAATCATTTTAAATTTTAAAAATATATATAAAAATTATTATATAATTTTAACTTAACAAAAAATTAATAAAATATTATATTTTATATTATATACAATTTTTAAAAAAAGTAATATAAATAAAATGTTAGTTGTAATAATTAATAATAGTAAAAACCAAAATTTTAAATACAAAAATTAGTAACCTAATGCAAATTAATTTGCATATTTATCTAATATTTAGTATTTTTTATTTTTTTTATAGAATTTTTTATTAGATTAATAAAATAATAATTAAAGATTAAAAAATTATAATTTTTTAAATAATTAGATAGTCTAATTATTTATTACAAGATGTTTTATAAACATTTATTTGATTAGTTAATATATATAGTATATATTAAATACTTTACAATATAAAATGCTAGATTAATTCTTATTTGTATATTATTTAAATTATTTGTTAACTATTATATTTATTTTTATTTTTAGTTTTTAGTATAAGTATATTATACAGCTACCTTATTTTTTAATAAAAGCATTAAAAAATATAATATTAAACTATAAAAAATCATATAGTTTATATAAGATTGTAGTTGTTTATTTAAATAAATATTATATAATTATGTAATGATTTTTTAATTTATTTTTTTTTTTATTTTTTTTTTTTAACTTAAGCAGTTATACTAGTACTTTATTAAGTTTCTTGAAATTACTTTTGCAATTACATAAATTTGCCTAACAACTAAGTCTAGCATTATCTGACCACCTATAGGGTACCTAAGTATAACTTGCTATACTATTTCTAACAGAAATAGGCTATTTGTCTAACTACTTAAAGTCTGTAGTAAAAGGGTCTTCTTCCTTCCACAACAAGTCCCAACATTATCTTTTTACTTTTTTTATTAATTCTATCTTTTTTCTCTTTTGCTTGTTTCTTTTCTTCTTCAATCTTCTGCTGATTTGCCTTTTCTTTCTTCTTTGAATTCTTCTTCTTTACTTTCTTTTTCTTCATTTTGGTTGTTATGTCTTCTTTTTTCTCCTATTCATTAACTTTTTTGCACTGTATCTTCCAAACCTGTTCATAGAATATGTCTCATGCTGTTTTTGCCACTGTCTCTATAAACTGCTGTCTTGGCTTTGTATTTAGGAGCTATGTTAGTCTGTCTTGTGTTTTTTTCTGAATTAGGCTTTTGATTAATGCTTTTCTTATCTCTATTTCTTCTGCTTCATTTTTCTCAAAGAGTGCTATATATAGTACATATAGTAGGATGTGAGTTTTTTCTTCTTCCTTTAACCCTTTTCAGGCTATTATGATAGTCACTTTTTGGATTCATTTCCACAGGCTCCGTTGTTCTTTACATAATACTAGATATGACTGTGTTTCTTTGACTTTATTTTAATATACTTGACACTCCGTTGTTGTATATATGTCTGATCTTCTTCTATTAAGTTCTTCTAAGGTTGGAAGTTTATTTATCATACACTTTATAAACATACATCTTCTTGTACTACCTCTTCTTGTTGTGTAATGCACTCCTTTAGTCATTTTTAACCTTTTTCAAAATTGTGTCCAGTCATGAATTATGACTTCTGTTTTCAGTTCTAACTTTCTAATTGCATTTGTTTTTTTCCATTCTGTTCCCAATCTTGCATTTGTTATCAATTTGCATAACAATCTTGCAGGTATATTAGTTCATTTGTTTTCCTACTCTAGGCAATACTCTATCTCTTTGCAACTGACTTTCTTTATTTGTATTATTTTCTTACTTATTATTCCCTTCTTTGTGAGACTATTAGCTTTGTCATTCCATTTGTTTTTGCTATAACTTTTAACTTTCACTAATTCTATCTGTATACTCTTTATGCTAATAAGATCTATAATCTTCATTATTCATATCGCATTTTTCTTTTTAAGAACTTTTATTCTATCTACTTGCTCTAAACCTCTGCTAATGTTTCTAATTGCAGCATTACTGTCTGTATATATTTCTACTTGTCTTTCTCTCAGTATTGTTAGGATTGCTGCCTATATTGTTACTAATTCTGCTATTGTTGATGTTATCCATCCTTCTAGACCTAATAATGCTTCTTCTTTTGGCCATTCTTGTGTTTCATTTGTTTGGACCCATCCTATTCCCATACTACTGCTTCATGTTTCTTCTTTAGTCTTTATGTTTGTAGCACCATCTGTATATATAATATATTTGTTTTGTTTCTCAATGGGTTTCTTCTTAGCACCTTCAGAATTTCGTATTTGACATTCTCATTTAGTTTTCATTTCTTGATTATTTCTATTTTTAACCCTTCAAGCATCATTAGTCCTTCAAGCTGCTGCTCACTGTCCTTCAACCTTTTTGTTTCTGCTTTTTCTATCAACTGGTCTATAGCTATCTTGATCTTGCTATTTCTTTTTTTTATCGATGTATTAGGAACTACTCTAATCTTGTTATTTATTCTTATCTATTGCCAGCAACCATCTTCTTTCTGTTCTTCTTTTTCTATACATCTATTACATCTGCTAATTTCTGTTACTGTTTTATTCTCTTTACTTTGCATTTGCCAATGCTTTAATAAAACCTTTTTCTTTTTCTTCTTTATTATCTTTTCTAGCTGTTTATCTTCTTGTGTATTATATATTATCTACTCTTTTCTTCTTTTATCTTTTGACATGACCCTTTATACTATTTTCATTGCTTGAGTATTATGTCTGTTTGTCTTAAAGTGTCCTTTAATTCTTCTGTTCATTGGTTCTTCGAGCACTATAGACTCTATTTCTTTAAACTATTTTGTTTTTTTTCTTTTACTTGAATGTTTGCAAAAGTTCTTAAATTGTTGCCATGTGATCAGCTTCTTATCTTTTATATTAAGCAGTTGGTTTAGATAAATTAAACCTGCTTCATTTATCTCTATTCCACTTCTTTTCTATAACTGTGTTTCTAAAAGTTCTCTTATTTTAGTACTATATCCAAATATTCTCCAAAGATTACTTTTTGTTCTTATGCTTATTTCTAACTCTTTTGTTTTTATTACTGTTAGACATGCTAAGTTGTTCTTTCACTATACTTTGTTAACTAATACTTCTTCCACTTTTCAAATATCTTCTGTCAAACCTGCTCTTTGACAGCCTTGTGTAATTTTTAGCTTCGTTAACTAATCTAGGCTGTCTTTTCTGTTCAATCTTGACAGCAAGCTACTTATTTGCTTTATTACTAGCTCTTGTTGTAATGTTTTACATCTACCGAGATCTTTATGTTCTATTATACAATTTTTTATTGTTCTTTGCAAGCTGCTTTTTTCCTTTGCTAAACATATTATTGGTTGATGTATTTCATGTATTCCCTTTTCTGAAATTTTAGTTAACTGGAGCATATAGCTTAGTTTTAGGATTATTATCATATTGTTTATATATATGATCTGGCTTGTTGTTATTTTTTTGTACTTGAGGTCTTTTATTGTCTGACTAACTATTTCTTTAGCTTTTCTTTTAACTAATACTTCTTGCATTCTGTTATTTAGCCATATTCCAAGTGACTGAACAATTTTGTTTCTTGGCTCTTCTCTTATATTGCTTTTGCCAAAGGCTATTTCTCTTTCTTCTTTTTTAACCTTTGTGTTCATCACTAGCAGCTTTGATTTTGGTCTATTAATCTCTATGTTATTCATCTTGAAAAACTCTTCA